ACAAGGATGACACCAAGTGTTTGAGAAGCATCGGCATTTGATGGTTGTTAAACAGATCATCGATATATCTAAAGTTAAAGTTCCTGGTCAAATTGCTTTGTTTCGACTTTACCAATTTGAGTAGATATTCAGCTTCATATGCGTAAAATACAGAAGGGGGTGGGGTGGGGTGGGGGTGGGGTGGCATGATTCATGACCATAGGTAAGTCTACTTTTTGTTCACATATTGTTTTCCCACTAAACGTCAGATTTCCGAAAACCGAAGCATGTTTGTTTCCCAGCACACTACTGAAAAGTCCAGATTCTAATACTTTTGTTAGCAGGTAATCTCCAGCACTGAGAAAGTATAATGCCAAATATAACATAAGTTATATTTGATCACTCTCTAAATGTCATTGTGTATTCACAGTTCATGGAATTGTTTCACGTTTAAAAGTGACAGAAAATGCTTTTTAAAGACTTTATGCTGCTTGTCAAGTGTGTGACGGAAAGCCTCTTGTCTCAAGAGAATCAGGAACACCCACCATCACATTCTTCAGACAAAATCAAACACAGACTTGGCACAAAGTCTGACCCAGTTCATTGCCTCTACGATGTCCTTCAGGAAGGGGATGAGATAAACACAGCTGCACGGGCCAGCAATAGCTCTCCCGTTCCTGAAGTTACAGCTTAAACAAGTGCCCACGACCAAATATTGCTTACACCTACCAGCGTTTGACATACCTGGAACAGGGCGATAGGGTCGGACAAGAAACAACGGTGGAAGACGGACAGTCACGTGGAGCGGCCACCTGAGAAGGCTACACAAGAGGTTGTAGGGATTACTGCAAACTGCAATATTGAGCAGTTCTGCACCGTGTCACTGTGGTGGGTTTTGCTAAAGGGCATGTATGTGTAACGAATATAACTCAAATGAAAACATAGTTTTGAGGGCATAAATATTAGGTGATTCTAACACTGGTGTGCATGTACTCATACACTGGTGGAAGCAATTTCAACACTTCCTATTATCTAACCCTGGAACATTTAACGTCAACAGTACCAGGCAAGTAGCGTTGAGGTTTATTATCGGGAATATGCCCAACCTTCAAGGATCAATATACTTGATAAGATTTAAATCTATTTTTGAGTAAGAAGCATATATTTATAAGCCAATACAGCAGCCCTAACTGTCTTGGTAACCAATTACAAAGATACTTTCAGATTTTTCAGATTGGCCGCCAAAGTCAATGGTCAAATCAAGGATGGCACTTTATCTGAATTTAACCGCATTGGGATGCTGTGCATTGGTGCTAAATGTCATGCTTTTACCACAAAGTGCACTGTTCACTGATATTATGGTAGTATCCACGTGACAAGTAAGGTACCAGTCATAGGGAACATTTGAAGTCAGCAGCAACATCAAGGAATATCTATGCGCCACAATGTCAATGTAAAGATGCCTCGAAAGTATTACTGATTGACCGACAGATAATGTGTTGCCAGAGATAACAATTGTCAACCATGCACGCAATATATTGTTCTCGTGCTCTCTGAGGGTTTGATAAGTTGCTAACAATGTTTGGGATTCCCATTACATCTGGGAAACCGCCGTGTGTATGTACAGTGGGTGACAAACATCAACCATGGTCGTTTACATAAGCAATCGTTAGTAATTAACATGTAGTGGTGTAATCAAACTCGGACGTTCTTTACGGAAAAAAGGTAATCAATACAGCTTTTATTCTGTAATCAATTTACTCAATACATAGTGTCTTACCACCCATGGTTCTAAATATAACGAAGTCTCTTGTAATCTAATTGCGCATTAATGAGATGGTATTAACGAGATTTAATAATAATAATAATAATGTCCATTTATATAGCGCCAAACTCCACACTAGGTATGCTCATAGCGCTAACTATCAAGGCACAGCACATGATTACCCCGGATAACCCAAGCTGCCTGTTAGGCGCTAGAAGGTTATAGTCATATGACTTTTTCCACCGGGTACCCATTTTCCTGCTGGGTGAGCAGAGACAATTTTGAACAAACTCACTTGCCTAAGGTGGGACCACATGTGTCAGATGCCCACTGCCTCTACTTACTGCCTAGTATGTATGCTGTTGGCTTCAGATTGCCTAGGACTATTTTGCTAAGTGATTTGTCTGAAACACAATTACCAGATTGGTCAATCTGCAATCCGCATAATCGATATCCATTTACTATAAGTAATGAATTGATCGCTGTAGCTGTGTATGTTTATACATGCCATATTTCTGGGCCTTCAGTAGGCAAGAGTGCCCCAATGGTCGGAGGTCGCTATAAGGAGTTGCGTCCTCACTTTGCAGGATCCGCTGATCCTGGGTCCAGATAGTGGTCCTCATATCACACGCCATATTATAGATGGCTGTTTATGCTTGAATTTTAAGAATACCACCAAGTGGAAATAGGAAGAGCAAGACAGTAAGCATAAATATGTATGGTAAAAACAATCAGATTACATTTTGGTTAATGGCAAATGCTTGTCGTCCATCTTCGATTAACTGTGGCAACAGTTGTGCCACTAACGTTTGCCTAATGTTTGGTTAACGTTTGCCTAATGTTTGGCTAACGTTTGCCTAATGTGCCACTTTGGTGGCAGACACTATTTTCTTTTATCCGAAACGTCTCTTTATTTCAGTTTTGAAGTTTTTATCGTTAATTAGATTATTATTTCTGCTAATTCTAACAAACTCAAATTTCGAGTTTGTCTCGAAATTTGTCTTGAAATTAAACCAAAGGTTACGAAAGAAAATCAGTTAAAATATTTTATCACGTGTTCGCGAAACAGTAGTTCACAATGCTACGAAAGTCATCAGTCAAACAGTGAAGTTTAACTACTTATGAACTCAAATACATGTACACAACAAATACACGACGGACGATTATCGGAAGTAAATATTATCTCACTGCCTCTGTTGTACGTGCGGCAAGCTCTGACGCAAGCTAACCGTTGGTCTTCTAGTCCGGTGTGTCTTAGGATGCAATACTAACACATTGTGATGAACACTATTCACTTTTCTTGTGGATTTTTGCGCCTTTTGTTTTGTGCTTCATCTGAAACCTGAGACTGGTTATTGTCTGGCGTTGCCATTGTGTGTAGCATGAACACCATTACAGGTATGACTGAACATAATTAACAGTTAACATCACACAGTTCATCAAGAGTAGGCGAAGAGACATCTGTAAATAATACGATACGTTCGTCTGACATTTTATATGTGGCATGAACACCATTACAGGTATGACTGAACATAATTCACAGTTAACATCACACAGTACATCAAGAGTAGGCGAAGAGACATCTGTAAATAATGCGATACGTTCGTCTGACATTTTATATGTGGCATGAACACCATTACAGGTATGACTGAACATAATTAACAGTTAACATCACACAGTACATCAAGAGTAGGCGAAGAGACATCTGTAAATAATGCGATACGTTCGTCTGACATTTTATATGTGGCATGAACACCATTACAGGTATGACTGAACATAATTAACAGTTAACATCACACAGTACATCAAGAGTAGGCGAAGAGACATCTGTAAATAATACGATACGTTCGTCTGACATTTTATATGTGGCATGAACACCATTACAGGTATTACTGAACATAATTAACAGTTAACATCACACAGTACATCAAGAGTAGGCGAAGAGACATCTGTAAATAATGCGATACGTTCGTCTGACATTTTATATGTGGCATGAACACCATTACAGGTATGACTGAACATAATTCACAGTTAACATCACACAGTACATCAAGAGTAGGCGAAGAGACATCTGTAAATAATGCGATACGTTCGTCTGACATTTTATATGTGGCATGAACACCATTACAGGTATGACTGAACATAATTAACAGTTAACATCACACAGTACATCAAGAGTAGGCGAAGAGACATCTGTAAATAATACGATACGTTCGTCTGACATTTTATATGTGGCATGAACACCATTACAGGTATGACTGAACATAATTCACAGTTAACATCACACAGTACATCAAGAGTAGGCGAAGAGACATCTGTAAATAATACGATACGTTCGTCTGACATTTTATATGTGGCATGAACACCATTACAGGTATGCGATAACTGAACATATCGTTATAGGTATGACTGAACATAATTAACAGTTAACATCACACAGTACATCAAGAGTAGGCGAAGAGACATCTGTAAATAATACGATACGTTCGTCTGACATTTTATATGTGGCATGAACACCATTACAGGTATGACTGAACATAATTAACAGTTAACATCACACAGTACATCAAGAGTAGGCGAAGAGACATCTGTAAATAATACGATACGTTCGTCTGACATTTTATATGTGGCATGAACACCATTACAGGTATGACTGAACATAATTCACAGTTAACATCACACAGTACATCAAGAGTAGGCGAAGAGACATCTGTAAATAATACGATACGTTCGTCTGACATTTTATATGTGGCATGAACACCATTACAGGTATGACTGAACATAATTAACAGTTAACATCACACCGTACACCACGAGTCGATTAAATATGTCTGTAAATAATATGATGTCGGTTAGTCTGAAAATTGAAACCAATCCCGTGTGTGTCTAGATATAACCATTTTCATTCCAAATGTGTGATCCAGAAATGACTGGCGTGTGATCAACTTCCACGTCCGGAAAAGTAATGAAGCGTTTAGAACAGAATCATGTCCAAATGTGTTTGAACTGACATACAAATGAGTCAGTTTCAGTCATCGACCAATGACAATGTCGCTGTGCATTTAGCTTCCTAGTGTGTTCATTATCCTTAAATCACTCACAATTAATACAACCTGATGTAGTACAAAAAGCTTGGAAATGGAAACTAAAGGTTTATGATTGTTTTGAATGATCGATCAAACTATTGTTTGATCTGGTGTTCTGCTGCATAGCGATCAACAAACCACTCCTTTTGGTAGAGGGATGATTGGCAGCCAATCGATACAACCCTCCCGAACGTCAGCGAATCAGCGGACACTGTTTGTCAGTTTCAGGCCTCATTGTCATGTTGGCTACCGACGTGAGATATATAAATATATTTTATAAGAATAATGTTTGCATATAGTCTTATAATTGCCATTATAATTGCCATAATTACTCTACATGAGTTCATGGAGCCGTTGTTACCCCATACAACGTCACCTCACAGTATGGGGGAAGGCCTGCAGTGGTAACACTGTCCGGTTCAGTATGACGTTTTCGTGTTAAGCTTGACCCGAGAAGAGCGAGAATTGGAATTATTTATACACCGACTTTGAGACTTTTATGGGAACAAAATGGACAGCAAAAGAAATGAATCGGTTTCTTCTCTCGTCAAATACTTCGGGGAAAATACGAGCATGCATGGGGTGTCCAGGTTTGCAGGAAACCAGGGCTTCTTCAGGAGATCATTCTGGGTTCTGGCGGTGTTAGCTGGTGCTGGTGAGTAATGTATTTTCTGACGTTTTACCTGTGGCTATTACGTTAATCGAACATTGGTAAATTATTAACAGAAATGTCTGGATAATTCCACGAAGTTTTACCCAGTTCATGCTGGCAACATTCCACAAGATATTGTTTGACCTTTCCTTTCAGAGTAAATGAATGACTGTACATGAATGATGTGAAGCAGTGAACCCTCTCCATGCATAGACAGAGTGCGTTAGTGTGTGGGTTGGGTTTGGATGTATGGGTGAGGGAGTTTGGTGTAAGGCCGCTTGAAACAGTATGCCAGTTGTATCACGTCTTGTCAGCTTATTGTGAGAGGAAGGTGCTGAATAATGCGGGCCTCCAGCAGAGGATAAGGCGCAGACAGATGTAGAAACATAATCAGGAGCGAGCTAGGGTTCAAACACTGGATCAGAGTTTCCTGACAAGCCCAAGGGACGCAACTCTGCACAGCGAATTGAGATACAACAGATGGCAGGAGCCCCGTACCCATGTGCCATAGAACCCCGGCGCAGTAGGATATAACTGTCGATATAACTGGGTTTGCCTGTCCAGATTGGGTTATTGACAGGCCACCGCCATGTTACCAAACCACAAAGTCGTATGCCAGATACGAATGTCCGTGATTCGTAGACGTCGTCGGCCTGTCCTCGTAGATACGTAGACGTCGGAGGCCTGACCTCGTAGATACATAAACGTCGTCGGCCTGACCTCATAGATACGTAGACGTCGTCGGCATGTCCTCGTAGATAAGTAGACGTCGTCGGCCTGACCTTCTAGATACGTAGATAGGTGGCACGGCAAGTCGTCTATGGCGCAACAATTAGCTGTGCAGAGTTGCGTCCCTTGGGCTCGCCAGAAACCTATGATTGCTGGTTGGTATCCCGGTTGACCATAACTATGTTTCTTGATTATGTCGCTGGAATAATGTTCAAAGCTGCGTTACAAATCTCTAGTTTTTCCTGTAACGCACTCGGTATGATGGCCCCGTGTAGTGCACATATGGAACGCACGTGGAGAAACTCATACACACGTGACATGACTGGAATGTTTCTACATTCGGCGTAAATGTAAACTCACTCACTCACAGCGCAGAATTTCTGTTGAGAAACAAAGAACCGACAGCAATCGAAAACAGCTTGAAATGAGGTGTTTGAATCTGTGAATTAATTTCAATATACATGTCGAATATGTATTGTAAACCAATGGTGAGTGTTTTCCGCAATCTGATTGGTTAATTACCCTTGTCGAATAGTGTTCGACATACCTGAAAATGATGGCCTAATAACCGCACATTACTACGTTGGCACTAATACCGTAATTCCAGCTGAAGCCGTCGGTTTTAAACTATAAATTTGCCGGTGTTGAATTCCAATGAATCCCGGAAATTGAACAAACCAAACTATTTATCTTCTAAATCACAATTAATTAAACACTCACTCACAGACGCTGCTTGTCAAAAAGTTTGAACTTTCAGTCTGCTTATTATGACTGAAATGTGTAGCTCTACACAAATTTTTACCATTTGTTCACGTGCACATCATGAAAAATGCCTGCACGAAATTGACGTGTTTGCAAGAAATTCATAACTTTTTGTGAATGGAATAGTCATTTTCTAAATCCATATGCAATCATACAACTTGGTTCCCCAATAATATCACCCGAAATACAATACCCCATACTTCGTTTGAATATCATATATAAGTCTGTGTAATAGTAATCTTTTCTAGGAAGATGTAACCATCCTCTATCCTGTTTGGGGGGCGGTGGGGTAGCCTAGTGGTTAAAGTGTTCGCTCGTCACGCCGAAGGACCGGGTTCGATTCCCCACATGGGTACAATGTGTGAAGCCCATTTCTGGTGTCCCCCGCCGTGATATTGCTGGAATATTGCTAAAAGCGGCGTTAAACCCAACTCACTCACTATCCTGTTTTGATGACATTTACAATACACCGATGTACAAGCGACTTTGTTTAGAATATCTGGCAAGTTTTATTTCCAGAGGAAGCGTTCCTTACCTGTAGGGTTCGACCTCTAAAACTAATTTACCTGACCTATAGATTCTCAATTTATTTCCAGTCACTGATCCTCCGTGATTCCAGGGAATCCTTAACAATGATTCATTATCTAATATCATTGATACATACTTCAGAAGCGAAGAATCTATCGATAAAATATGGAAGATAATTGGATCAGGGAGTTATTAAGTATGTATAAGTGCCACAACATCAATACTATCAATCCCACGTGTAACTCTATCAACAGATCATAATAACTCGTCGCCAGTAATGGGCGTATCTAAACCAGAATATCATTTGGTGATGAATGATTGCCATTATTCATTTAAATTCTGTTCTATCGTGAAAAAATGTCGCCAAAACCTTACTTCACGTCAGTTTCAATTAAAGGTGAGCTGACATCAAGTTTAGCCTTTCCTAAGCCATGATGATTAGTGCTGACACGTTAATGCTGATCGCTGATCGCAGTCCACCTAAAATATTATCTCGTATAAGGGCCTCTGAGCTGGGGTATTGTTTTCTGATTTTGCAGGGCTAACCCCCTATCTCACTTCACTAACTGATCTATGGGGTATACTAAACGTTGTCTACTTGTATGCCAACCGATCATAGGTTTCTGGCGTACCCAAGGGAGGCAACTCTGCACAGCGCATTGAGGAGCTTTAGCAAACTATGGTACTCGTGACGCCAATGCTCCCCAAATTACCACTTGTATTACGAAGGTAACGGAGTTAGCCGAGTAGATCCGAACGTTGACGGTTCCAGTCATATCAATCTGACTGTGACACTACTATTTGTCCCATGTGGAAGTGAGGATGTGAAACCGCCACCTGTATCACATACATTTCACACATGAAGAACCAGGCGTGCGATAATACCCTACATTAGTACTCCCATGACGTGTATAATTACACGTCCATGTCACCAGACACGTTAATGCTGTATTAAGCGCACGTGGCATATAGATTTGTGTACAACAGGCTATTAACTTACTTCATTAATGGCTTGCCTCGCATTGCAGCAAGTCCTCGGAATACAGTTTGATTTAAGATACAATCAGTGATGTTTACAAACTGTGTTCGCTACGCTAATAAGTCGTATCATCTTCTTATCATAGAGGTTAAAAACCCGTGATTTACGTACTTTCGCTACTCATTAGCTTGTGTCGGAATACACATACATTTTGTAGTTAAGTATTTTGTTACGAAGTCGGTAGGGTCGGAAACAATTAATGATGGATTTCCAGTATAACGACATCAACCAAGATGAAGTAAAAGAAGTTTGCAGTGGCTGTACATATGATCAGGGATACTCTACAACACCTTATATAGTCTCCCTGATATGATATGTAATCGCTTACAGGTTCATTTCACTGTGCCCGTGAAGAATCCGGGTTAGAATATTGATCTTCAGTAATCCATGCTTGTTGTAAGAGGCGACTAACGTGATCGGGTGGTCAGGCTCGCTGACTTGGTTGACACATGTCATCGGTTCCCAATTGCGCAGATCGATGCTCATGCATCACTGGATTGTCTGGTCCAGACTCGATTATTTACAGACCGCCGCCATATAGCTGGAATATTGCTGTGCGGCGTAAAAACGTACTCACTCACTCACTCATTTCACTGTGTATAAGTAAGCTCCTACATGTATGTTGTTTCGGGGGTATGTCCTTAGTTTCTCAGTGCTGTCGAAATATTCTGCTGAGTGTGATCAGTAGTTAACGATCGTTTCTAGATTCTAGATTCAGGGTGACAAAACATTTAAACAGATGGCTTCAACTGTCAGTTCTCCCCGGCGACTAAAATTCCTGTAAGTCCAATCATTGGAGTAAACATTTCACAACCTTTGGTTGTACAGTCGAACGTGCTACTTCTATGGAGACTTCAAACAACGCAATCCCGATGTCTCCAAAGTTGTTTGATTAGAGTGAAGACATTCAAGGCCTTAGTAACTTTTTAAATGTTTTATGGTAGACATTTTGAAGACATTTCTTACATTGACCATCAGTGACAAAACTGATGTCTGATGCGAAATGCAAATCCTTTTTTGGTTTGTACCGTATGTTCCCATGTTTTATTAGTTGAACGAATGACTTGTTTTTGCATATGAGGGAAGGACAGGGCAGGATACTGTCACATTGTCTCGAGCACCTGGTGTCATTCTATATAGAGCTAACAAGGGTCGCAAACCCGCATCCGTGTCATATTCCTTGTTTAAACTCAGCAATAATAGGCAAATCTCTAAACAATCCACTTTTGTAACTATTTCTTTTATTAATATATTTATCTTTTATTTATGTATTTATTATGTATTTATATCCGTTCATTCCTTTATTCCTTAATTATTTCATCTATTATATATATCATGAAGTATTATTTTAGGTCATTTCCGTATATTTGCTTACAATATTTATTCCGTTTTGAATTTTGTATTTTCTTTTAATTATATTTAACTTTTAGTATGGTGACGTCACATTTAGTAACTTGTATAAAATATATTGATTTAAAACTTGGCAATATGTTTTGATGACTGTATTTTGATATCTCATAAGGCAGTAGTGCACAAGTGCATATTGAATTACATTACTTAAAATGTTTTATATATGGCTGATACAATCAGTAAAACTAATCAGCTTTAACGGAGACTTTGAGCAGGCTAACCATTTATGTGAGACGTAAACCAGTTAACATACTCAATCAAAATTAACGTCACACTTTTGGTCAAAGCCGATTTCGTGAAATTATGGCGTTTATTATTTGAGACATTTATACAGGTACAAATGAGAACAGTTGCTTTTGTTGTGTGGAACGTGGTACAGAAATACACGCTGCTTCGCGGGTGGTAATCTTGCATGGAGTACGTTGTGTAACGTTCTGCATGTCACATGGTGCATTCACTTGCAGTTCGTTAACTAAATGTGTTGGGAAACGTTCTTGTAACGCATGTATTTTTATATGTATAATTTTCATCTTAAAAGCTCCCTGCTAATTAATGCATAAATGAGGATCAGGCGTTGTTTAAGTTGCTTCCGACTTGCCTGGACTGAGATTGAGTAAGTATGGTTTTACGCCGCTTTTAGCAATATTCCAGCAATATCACGGAGGGGACTGAGATTGAAGCTTCAACCCAGGTAAAGCACTACTTAATGTTTTCATGCTCATAGCTGACCCAACATCGTTATATTCCTTATTATATTTAATTTTGCTGGGATTATGTTTATGACATTATTATATTCTTAACTGGCATGACCCATGACATGTAACTCACCAACTGTACACACAAACAGGGACAATACAAGACGTGCTGTAGATTATCAGAACAGAACAGAACATTTTATTCTCTAAAAACCCACCCACGGTGGTACATGAGAATATAATGATATACAATTTAACATATATATACAATCAAGATGGCGGATAATAGAATAGTTAGATAGAGTATTATTATCACAATTCGTTTACAATTTCAGGGCATTTGACAAGGCATTTAAAAATTTAGCTAGTTTTTTTTTAAATGCTTTGTTTTCTTTATTGAAAATAGCCGTTCAAGTTTGAACAGATTAGGCCATTCGTAGTAATAATTTGGAATATACATTATCCGCTGTTGGAGAAGAGCTTCGCATTTAAAAAGGTAATGGAATTCATCCCCAACAGACGGAGAATCGCAAAGTTTACAGAGTCTATTTTCTCTAAGAATCTTGTACCAGCGTCCTGTTTCTATCCCTGATACAAACATGCAAAAGATACAAAAGATACAAAGATGCAGGCCATTCTCGTGTGGTACTGGAGGCCGTCAGTTGGTCAGGGGTAATTGCTGACATCTCTCATAAAGTCTGTTTGACAGCACGTTATATAGGGGCACTGGTGAATGAGTGAGAATTGGTTTTAACAGCGCTTTGAACAGAATTTATTTGAACAGTATGGCCACTTGACTGTGTATCTTCCTCAGGGGTTGCAGCGTACAACATTTGGACGATTTTCCTCGCCTTCAGGACGTGGGAGGTGTCGACAGTAGTCAGTCTGGTGTACAACGCCAAGCTTCGTTTCCCTTCCATCACCATATGTAACATCAATGCCGTGAAGAAATCACAGCTAATCAATTTGACGGGAGACAAGGTGAAATCCGCTATGGGAATACAGGTGGTAAAAGTTAGGGAGGACTCTAGGTCATTTTACTATTGCAATAATATCATTGTATGTGCATGTGTGCATGTGCATGTGCATGTGCATGTGCGTCTAGTAATAGATTTAACATCGACTTAAGTCCAGACACCCAGGGTTACCAAATGTACTCCATGAAAGGATAGATATCCAATCCTATGTCACTTGCACTAGGCAATCATCAGACAATGTGCCTCTTTTGATTCGATTTCGCCATGTCAGCTGGAGAAACGTATGGCGAGTCAAAGAAGGCTTGAAACCGGAACGTCACAGAGGGTTAACTACGAGGACATCCGTGCTCCGCGGCGAGCTCCATACAGATGCTCAAACAGTAACGGTAACGTCGACGTCTCCAATGAGGCAGACGACACTTGACGCTGCGAAATATCGGGATGATATTTTGCAAACGTCCGTTTTACCGTTTTCCGCATCAGAACGGCCGTGGACAATTCGGCACGATAACCCGGACTAGATGTTGCTAGAGGTGTAAAGCGTTATCTGATTTTGAGAGATGTGAATGTGTTTCTCTGGCGTCAAGATCCTCAGACCCAGTCATCACTGGATCATGTCTGGGATGAAATAAGCCGACGTTTGCGACATCATCCAAATCCTCCAACGACAGGAGCAGTATCTTCGGCACCTTAAAACATTGTTTGGTTTATAATACCACTCAAGACAACAAGGGCGGTGGGGAAGCCTAGTGGTTGAAGCGTTTGCTCTTCTTCCGGGTTCGATACCCCAATGGGTACAATATGTGAAGCCCATTTCTGGTATTCAGCCGCGATATTGCTGAAGTATTGTTAAAAGCAGGTCAAACGTAACGCATTCACTCAAGACAACATTTTTATTTTTGGGGTGTAGTTTAACGTCACAGTTTTGCTTGTGAGTAGATATTGAAATATAATTGCAGGAGACACCGTGGCACTTGACTGGCCTAGCGAAAAAACGAAATATATGCCTCGCCGACCGTCGGTCTACTGTCTCCTGATTGTTTGAAAATGGAATGGGTGGGCCTAGAGTTGCATTATCGCTTTGAAAGATGTTGCTGACTTAGTTAATTGTTGTCTACTGTCTTTGTGCGTGTTACTGATAAAATATGCTGTCCGTGAAATAATCATCGTCGTTTTTAAAACAATTAAAACAATTGATGTCCAGTTGTGTTTCCTTCTGCGGACATAGAAACCGGCTTGCTCTATCTATCTATCTATCTATCTATCTATCTATCTATCTATCTATCTATCTCATCTATCTATCTATCTATCTATCTATCTATCTATCTATCTATCTATCTATCTATCTATCTATCTATCTATCTATCTATCTATCTATCTCTATCTATCTATCTCTATCTATCTATCTATTCTATCTCTATCTATCTATCTATCTATCTATCTATCTATCTATCTATATCTATCTATCTATCTATCTATCTATCTATCTATCTATCTATCTATCTATCTATCTATCTCTATCTATCTATCTATCTCTATCTATCTATCTATCTATCTATCTATCTATCTATCTCACGGACGTACAAAGCACGCATACCTGTCTTTTATGTTAATACCTTTGAACATCTATGATTTAAAGGATTTTCCTGTTAAATTTTTTTTATACATATAAGCTATATTTCAGACCACGGAGAATCCAAGGTTGCCTCGGAACAATTCACTTGTATCGAGAGCCGAAGTGGGTAGCTCCGGCGTCACCGACGCCATTAACACCGACGACTCGGCGTTCAGTGGTGACTACAGAGCAGCAGTCAACACGCAAGAAGCGGCTTTAAACTTGACAACAGCAGAAAAAAGACAGATCGGACACCAGATAGAGGACATGCTCTTCGGATGTACCTATCAGGGAAAAACATGTACATCAGAGTAAGATTCTGTAGACTAGTCTCAGAACCTAGGGGTATGTTTAAACATTCACGTCGCATAGGCCTACTGGGTATCTACTATCTTGATCCCTATATCCCTCTTACTCGCTTTTAACCAATCAGATGTTAGCATACAGTCAAAGATCACATTCAGTCACGGATGTTGTGTAGCCTCGTACATCCCGGCATGTCTCAACGACATGGTCGCTACGTTATCAGCTTGTAGTATGGCGCGGTTAGAGATGATCCAACCAATATTCCCACCTCCAAGCAGAATCTTTGACAGCCAAGCCACGAAGACGGTTCCTAAATTTAAAATGTAGGAAATTTCGAATGCTTTTCAAAATATTATTGAACAATATTCCCAGAGGCAAGTGTGAGAAGCAGCGCTTATGTCATCTGGGTTCGGCGATCACACATAGTGAGAACCTCGGTGGATTTTGAGATTTTGTTTTAAAATGTTAAAAAGGGTGAAGATAATTTGTATCATTGTTCCATCATTCATAACTTTGTCAGTCGGGTTATTTTAATTGTCAAATAATACACGACATGGGTTACATGTATTCCTGAAATAACGGGGGATATCAGTCCAGGGGTGCCACAGTATTCCATATGGGTTGTAAAACACTGGCACTGGTCATCATATTGTTGGCAGGACAATGTCACTAAGCTTGCTACACTGCTTGTTGACAGGAATTTCACCAGGTTCTACAACTACATGCACGGCAACTGCTACGACTTCACACCTACTGCGAAGGACTACATGTACTCAACCAAGACAGGGCCCTTATATGGTAATCATCATGTTTTCGCCGACGACCCTTTGCGCTGCGATCTTAATGCGCAAAAGGTCGTGGTGTGAACTTGGCGTGTGTTTATGTCAGTGTGTGAATGCGTGTGCCCTTGCGTGCATGCATGTGTGCGTGCATGCCTGTGTGCGTGCGTGCGTGCGTGTGTGTGTGCAGGTGGGCGAGTGTTTGTGTGGTGCGGCATGTTTGTGACGTGGGAGCGATCGGGCTAGTGTGTTTGTATGTGTGTGCGAGTGTCGTGTGTGTGTGCGCAAGTGTGTGTTCGTGCGTGCGTGAAGCGTTGATGAGGTAAGCCAAACGTGAGTCGTGTGGGTCGGGGAAATTACTCTCCATGACTGAGCTAAATGTGAATTGGTGAGTCGGAGCTAAATGTGAATTGGTGAGTCGGGGAAATTACTCTCAATGACTGAGCTAAATGTGAATTGGTGAGTCGGAGCTAAATGTGAATTGGTGAGTCGGGGAAATTACTCTCCATGACTGAGCTAAATGTGAATTGGTGAGTCGGGGAAATTACTCTCCATGGCTGAGCCAAACGTAAGTTGTGTGGGTCGGAATGAAGCGCTAACTTAACGTGAGTGGGTGCGTTTTGAAAAATCAAGTTTGTGCTGATCGCACAAAACCGAGACGAATTTGGGAGTCGCAACAATGGCCAGCACCATAGCCATGAACACAACCCTATGTCTCACTTATGCCCTTATGAGAAAACAATGACAAGCATTTAACATTAAAATGGACTTCATGACCGCTAGCTTCCTTTTATTTACCGAATACACTGATCATTCTATTATCGTAAATACCCAGGTCCTATTCGGTAGAACAGTTTTGTCCAATCAAGGTGCGCTAAGCATGTGATTAGAGCGATGGAGGCAGTGACTTCATTCCTAAACGTGGCTTTGAGGCAAGGGTATGTATGGTAATAGAATGATCATATACTATCTCTTGACTACCTTCTAGGGCTGTCTCTCATGCTGAACGCGGAGGAAGACGAATATGTGCAGTCTCTAACCAACAGCGTCGGGTTCAAGGTCTCCGTCCATAACCATTTCGCCATGCCCTTCCCTGAAGACGATGGTTTCGACATCTCCCCTGGATTTGCAACATCTGTTGGTGTGCGTAAGGTAATGGTTGACCATTTCAAGTTGGGGGAATCAAATCGATTACTCCAGAGATTACTGGCCAAATCTGTTTTAAGAAACTCCTGAAAAAGATGAAATATCCTGAATTATGACAGCAAATCAACAAACTTTCAAGCTTCCAAATCCTGCGTCAGTTCTTTCTTTGGTCCTTTTAAGCTGGAAATTTAGCATATTTATCTTTCCCTTTTCCCGTATATAAAACAGAGTGTGTTTGTTTTGTGACCTTTTCCTCTAGAGCTGCTGCAACTCAGCTTCACTGTATATAATGACGTTTTCATCCAGAGATGCTGTAAGTAAGGTTACTGTTATATATTGTGTACAGGTGGTTGTTCAGCGCACTCCGGCCCCTTACGGCAACTGTGACATCCATGAGAAAGGCGGGCCCTCAACATATACTCCACCCAGCTAGAAAACATCTCCTACAGTGACAAGGTAGGAACTGTTATGTTCATACATGGTCAGAACGACTGATGTTAAGAGGTGTCGCCGTAGTTCTTGAGTCCCTACTCCCAATGTTGTTTTACAGCGGGTCTGCATGCAGCATTGCGGGATTATCAGCAATGGTCCTGACGCTGGGTTTATAAGATAGGAGCTTACAGCTTACATAGCATCATAAAACATCCTTTAGTTTCGGATTAATGCTAGCAGGTTAAACTATTTATTTTAAGTGTCAGTGTATCAATGACACAAACTAAATTAAAAACCTCATTAATCCGGAAAACAAGGAATATCGCACCATACACATATTCATTTATACGGACTAGGGATAATCCGGACCTTTCACAGGTTAAGGTATCGCCCAGATGAACGGAATTCAACTGTTTTTATTTCTCATTTGTACGGTACACGCATTATGTAACTGTCCCAGACTATGAGATTTGGTACCCGGATGTGGGGTAGACGACCCTCTTACCGTCTCCTTTCCCTCCGTCACAGGCTTGCGAGAGGTCGTGTCTTCAGGAACTGCTGGTGAACCGTTGCGGATGCTGCGATGTGACGTTGCCGTGTGATGCCGCGGCTCTCGGCCTCATCCTGGAAACCGTCCCTCCCATCCCATTCCCACAGTGCAACCTCAGAGATTCAGGTATTCCTGTCCAGCAGTAAAACAATAGTCCGTTATAGCAACACAGTTCTTCAAGGCACGGCACTTCGCTGTTATTCGTATTTTGAAAAGCTACGACCTCTGTTGTCTCCAAAATTCTGTTATCAATTATACCCCATTATCAATTTCTTTCTTGTTTTTAACCTCAAATGTATTTTCATTTCTGAATATGTGAATATCTGCATCTCACTACCTGGAATGCTCACCGACAATGATTGAGAATACATTAGCTTCGAATAAACCCCGGCTTTGAGTATTACTCTAGTGATATCACGATGATCATTTGGTTCCGTGATCTAAAAATGGAGACATCGTCTGTGTGTTATGTTGACTGTCATTACTGTTCCGACTGATATACGATGTCTGTGGTACATGACGCACCTGAGTCGAAGTTACTGGGTTTACCAAGGCAGTCCAAAACCAGTCCGACTCTCAAAATTAATTCCATTAACGGCCGGTATGTCCATTAGTACGGAGTTTCGGGCGTCTAGGCAGCGATAGAGCAATAGACAGATATATACTGGCTGAATAAAGATAACAACGTTCATCTCTTCTAGATTCCTGTGGGACGGCCGTCGTGAAGATGGTTGAGGAAGAAGACACTACTTGTCAAACACGGTGTACACCGAACTGCAGGTTAGATTCCCGTGTGTTTGCAGAAGAAGTATTAACATATATCTTTTCAGCATATATATTCTGTGTAGTTCGAATGTGTAAATAATTTAAATGAAACCTTGTGTGAGAAAGAAACGTGAACTTATTGTCCGAAGTTGCAAAATGTGGTTTGGGAACATTATGTCTGATGCATATTTACGTGGGTGAGAATGTGATGTCCTCTGTATATCTACGTGGGTGAGAATGTAATGTCCTCTGGATGTCTACGTGGGTGAGAATGTAATGTCCTATGTATATTTACGTGGGTGAGAATGTAATGTCCTCTGTATATCTACGTGGGTGAGAATGAAATGTCCTATGTATATATCTACGTGGGTGAGAATGAAATGTCCTATGTATATTCACGTGGGTGAGAATGAAATGTCCTATGTTTATCTACGTGTGTGAGGATGAAATGTCCTATGTATATTTACGTGGGTGAGAATGTAATGTCCTGTGTGTATCTACGTGGGTGAGAATGTTATGTCCTATGTATATTTACGTTGGTGAGAATGTAATGTCCTATGTATATTTACGTGGTTGAGAATGAAATGACCTATGTATATCTACTTTGGTGAGAATGTAATGTCCTATGTATATTTACATGGTTGAGAAAGAAATGTCCTATGTATATCTACGTGGGTGAGAATGTAATGTCCTCTGTATATCTACGTGGGTGAGAATGTAATGTCCTATGTATATTTACGTGGGTGAGAATGTAATGTCCTATGTATATTTACGTTGGTGAGAATGTAATGTCCTATGTATATTAACGTGGGTGAGAATGTAATGTCCTATGTATATTTACGTTGGTGAGAATGTAATGTCCTATGTATATTTACGTGGGTGAGAATGTAAGGTCCTATGTATATCTATATGGGTGAGAATGTAATGTCCTCTGTATATTTACGTGGGTGAGAATGTAATGTCCTGTGTATATTTACGTTGATGAGAATGTAATGTCCTATGTATATTAACGTGGGTGAGAATGTAATGTCCTATGTATATTAACGTGGGTGAGAAATGTAATGTCCCTATGTATATTTACGTTGGTGAGAATGTAATGTCCTATGTATATTTACGTGGGTGAGAATGTAATGTCCCTCCTCGATGTCTACGTGGGTGAGAATGTAATGTCCCTATGTATATTTACGTGGGTGGAATGTAATGTCCCTCTGTATATCTACGTGGGTGAGAATGTAATGTCCTATGTATATCTACGTAGGTGAGAATGTAATGTCCTATGTATATCTACGTAGGTGAGAATGTTTTGTCCTCTGTATATCTACGTGGGTGAGAATGTAATGTCCTATGTATATCTACGTGGGTGAGAATGTAATGTCCTATGTATATTTACGTGGGTGAGAATGTAATGTCCTATGTATATTTACGTGGGTGAGAATGTAATGTCCTATGTATATCTACGTAGGTGAGAATGTGGTGTCCTCTGTATATCTACGTGGGTGAGAATGTAATGTCCTATGTATATCTACGTGGGTGAGAATGAAATGTCCTATGTATATCTACGTGGGTGAGAATGAAATGTCCTATGTATATTTACGTGGGTGAGAATGAAATGTCCTATGTTTATCTACGTGGGTGAGGATGAAATGTCCTATGTATATTTACGTGGGTGAGAATGTAATGTCCTGTGTATATCTACGTGGGTGAGAATGTTATGTCCTATGTATATTTACGTGGGTGAGAATGTAATGTCCTATGTATATTTACGTGGTTGAGAAAGAAATGACCTATGTATATCTACTTTGGTGAGAATGTAATGTCCTATGTATATTTACGTGGGTGAGAATGTAATGTCCTATGTATATCTACGTGGGTGAGAATGTAATGTCCTATGTATATCTATGTGGGTGAGAATGTAATGTCCTATGTATATTTACGTGGGTGAGAATGTAATGTCCTATGTATATTTACGTGGGTGAGAATGTAATGTCCTATGTATATCTACGTTGGTGAGAATGTAATGTCCTATGTATATCTACGTGGGTGAGAATGTAATGTCCTCTGTATATCTACGTGGGTGAGAATGTAATGTCCTATGTATATTTACGTGGGTGAGAATGTAATGCCCTATGTATATTTACGTGGGTGAGAATGTAATGTCCTATGTATATTTACGTGGGTGGGAATGTAATGTCCTGTGTATATTTACGTTGGTGAGAATGTAATGTCCTATGTATATTTACGTGGGTGAGAATGTAATGTCCTATGTATATTTACGTGGGTGAGAATGTAAGGTCCTATGTATATCTATATGGGTGAGAATGTAATGTCCCTCTGTATATCTACGTGGGTGAGAATGTAATGTCCTATGTATATTAACGTGGGTGAGAATGTAATGTCCTATGTATATTTACGTGGGTGAGAATGTAATGTCCTATGTATATTTACGTGGGTGAGAATGTAAGGTCCTCTCGATGTCTACGTGGGTGAGAATGTAATGTCCTGTGTATATTTACGTAGGTGGAATGTAATGTCCTCTGTATATCTACGTGGGTGAGAATGTAATGTCCTATGTATATCTACGTAGGTGAGAATGTAATGTCCCATGTATATTTTACGTAGGTGAGAATGTTTTGTCCTCTGTACATCTACGTGGGTGAGAATGTTATGTCCTATGTATATCCACGTGGGTGAGAATGTAATGTCCCATGTATATCTACGTAGGTGAGAATGTTTTGTCCTCTGTATATCTACGTGGGTGAGAATGTAATGTCCCATGTATATCTACGTAGGTGAGAATGTAATGTCATATGTATATCTACGTAGGTGAGAATGTAATCTCCTATGTATATTTACGTTGGTGAGAATGTAATGTCCTATGTATATATTAACGTGGGTGAGAATGTAATGTCCCTATGTATATTTACGTGGGTGAGAAATGTAATGTCCTATGTATATTTACGTGGGTGAGAATGTAATGTCCCTCTCGATGTCTACGTGGGTGAGAATGTAATGTCCTGTGTATATTTACGTAGGTGGAATGTAATGTCCTCTGTATATCTACGTGGGTGAGAATGTAATGTCCCCTCTGTATATTTACGTTGGTGAGAATGTAATGTCCCTACGTATATTAACGTGGGTGAGAATGTAATGTCCTATGTATATTTACGTGTTGAGAGAATGTAATGTCCTATGTATATTTACGTGGGTGAGAATGTAAGGTCCCTCTCGATGTCTACGTGGGTGAGAATGTAATGTCCTGTGTATATTTACGTAGGTGGAATGTACTGTCCTCTGATGTCTACGTGGGTGAGAATGTAATGTCCTGTGTATATTTACATGGGTGAGAATGTGATGTCCCTCTGTATATCTACGTGGGTGAGAATGTAATGTCCTCTGGATGTCTACGTGGGTGAGAATGTAATGTCCCATGTATATTTACGTGGGTGAGAATGTAATGTCCTCTGGATGTCTACGTGGGTGAGAATGTTATGTCCTATGTATATTTACGTGGGTGAGAAATGTAATGTCCTATGTATATTTACGTGGTTGAGAAAGAAATGACCTATGTATATCTACTTTGGTGAGAATGTAATGTCCTTTGTATATTTACGTGGGTGAGAATGTAATGTCCTATGTATATCTACGTGGGTGAGAATGTAATGTCCTATGTATATCTATGTGGGTGAGAATGTAATGTCCTATGTATACTTAAGTGGGTGAGAATGTAATGTCCTATGTATATTTACGTTGGTGAGAATGTAATGTCCTATGTATATTAACGTGGGTGAGAATGTAATGTCCTATGTATATTTACCTGGGTGAGGAATGTAATGTCCTCTATGTATATCTACGTGGGTGAGAATGTAATGTCCTATGTATATCTATGTGGGTGAGAATGTAATGTCCCATGTATATTTGCGTTGGTGAGAATGTAATGTCCCATGTATATTTACGTTGGTGAGAATGTAATGTCCTATGTATATTAACGTGGGTGAGAATGTAATGTCCTCTGTAGATTTACGTGGGTGAGAAATGTAATGTCCTATGTATATTAACGTGGGTGAGAATGTAATGTCCTATGTATATTTACGTGGGTGAGAATGTAATGTCCTATGTATATTTACGTGGGTGAGAATGTAAGGTCCTCTCGATGTCTACGTGGGTGAGAATGTAATGTCCTATGTATATTTACGTTGGTGAGAATGTAATGTCCTATGTATATCTACGTGGGTGAGAATGTAATGTCCTATGTATATCTACGTAGGTGAGAATGTAATGTCCTATGTATATCTACGTAGGTGAGAATGTTTTGTCCTCTGTATATCTACGTGGGTGAGAATGTAATGTCCTATGTATATCTACGTGGGTGAGAATGTAATGTCCCATGTATATCTACGTAGGTGAGAATGTTTTGTCCTCTGTATATCTACTTTGGTGAGAGAATGTAATGTCCTATGTATATCTACGTAGGTGAGAATGTAATGTCATATGTATATCTACGTAGGTGAGAATGTAATGTCCTCTGTATATTTACGTTGGTGAGAATGTAATGTCCCATGTATATTAACGTGGGTGAGAAATGTAATGTCCTATGTATATTTACGTGGGTGAGAATGTAATGTCCCATGTATATTTACGTGGGTGAGAATGTAAGGTCCTCTCGATGTCTACGTGGGTGAGAATGTAATGTCCTGTGTATATTTACGTAGGTGGAATGTAATGTCCCTCTGTATATCTACGTGGGTGAGAATGTAATGTCCTATGTATATCTACGTAGGTGAGAATGTAATGTCCCATGTATATCTACGTAGGTGAGAATGTTTTGTCCTCTGTATATCTACGTGGGTGAGAATGTAATGTCCTATGTATATCTACGTGGGTGAGAATGTAATGTCCTATGTATATCTACGTAGGTGAGAATGTTTTTGTCCTCTGTATATCTACGTGGGTGAGAAATGTAATGTCCTATGTATATCTACGTAGGTGAGAATGTAATGTCATATGTATATCTACGT